TATATACATGCTAAACACAATGTAGAAGACCCTTCCCATCCCTACTTTACTAATCATGGCCCTTCCCATCCCTTTGGCTTTTCATATGCCTTGGCCTTTCATATCCCCTACTTTATTCACTTCTAATAGGTTATTCTTGATTAACTCATTTTAATGATTGGTAATTTTATTGCTACTTTTTTTTTTTGTCTGTTTTCTCATACATTATAGGTACCAGTGTACATTGCTGAAATAGCACCTCAAAATTTGAGAGGGGGGCTCGGTTCAGTAAATCAGGTTTGCTAAACCAGCGGTTTATAATTTCTTCATAGCAGGGCAATCACGTCCAGATCTCTTTTGACGGATAAAGTTATGCACTTGTCGTTATCTTTTCTAATTTAACGCAGTTAGCTGTTACTATCGGGATTATGCTGTCATATTTGTTGGGACTATTTGTCAACTGGAGACTGCTCGCTGTTATCGGTAATGCTCTTGAAATCTCCGGTTAGCTATTAATTCTACAGGTGTTAAGTCATATCATTTTGTTAAGACTCCCACATTGATAAAATAACAGAGAACATACGGGTTTATAAGGCCATGAGTTAGACTAGCTAATTGGTTCTATTAAAATTTTATTTTTACGATACCTCTGAGAGAGATAGCAAAGCTATTACTTAACTCAATGTCGAACTCGTAAGAAAGTATCACATGGATTTGCCCGTGATTTATTTGTTTTCTACTCCTACAGGGATATTGCCTTGTCTCGTGTTGATTCCGGGACTGTTTTTTATTCCAGAATCCCCTCGATGGTTGGTGAGTCTCACTAAGTATTTGTCTGTTTAATCTTTGAGGATTTTAGTTGCTGCTTTCTAATGTCAGCTTCCTTGTAAACCATAGGCAAAAATGGGGTTAACAGAAGATTTTGAAACCTCTTTGCAAGTTCTTCGAGGTTTTGATGCTGACATTACTGTTGAAGTGAACGAAATTAAGGTAAACTGCTCAGAACAAATTAACCATTTAACCTTTACTATTGTTGAGTATATAATATATATAAACATAAATGTGCAATCCAACTATCAGCTTAGACTTTTAGTTGAGATGGAGCACATGCTTCAATTTGGTATCAGAACCAATCCCATGCAAAAAGTCATGGGTTCGAATCTTTGCGTCACCCGTGTTGCTTGGAGCTCATCCCGCAAACGTGAGGGGGCGTGTTGAGCATATAATATGTTATCAGTTTAGGCTTTATTACTATACTTTTTTTTACACAGAGGTCTCTTGCATCGTCGACAAGCAGAAGAACAGCTGTACGTTTTGCAGATCTTAAACAGAGAAGATATTGGTTGCCTCTGATGGTATATTAGTTTTTGCGTTGTTGCCAAATACAAATGGATATGTGCAGTTATGTTTTTTTGAAGCCATTTAAACGTCTTTCATCTGCAGATCGGGATTGGACTACTCTGTCTGCAGCAGCTAAGTGGAACCAATGGCGTTATATTCTATTCTAGCAATATTTTTCAATCAGCTGGTACGTCGATAGACTTCACTTAGAAGACGGGTTTTTTTTATGCGCAAGTATCTTTCATTTTTACCAGTTCTAAAATCATTTCTTTGAAGAAATAATTAAAGAACGGAATTAAAAAAGAAAAAAGAAAGAGCGAGAGAGAGAATAAATAACATGAACTTTCGAAACTCTAGATTAGTCATTACTCCTTTAACTGTAAGCTTTTTTCTTCGTGTTTGCGTGGAATGAACAGGAATTTCTTCGAGCAATGCTGCAACGTGTGGTGTTGGTGCTATCCAGGTCGAGTTTGAGATTTTTTTTTCAATAAATTATAATTTAGTTATTGCCTGAAAGCCTAACAATTGAAATATACTTATTCGTACTGTTTAGGTTATTGCAACTGCAATTGCTACATGGCTTGTGGACAAAACGGGGCGTAGGATTTTACTTATTGTAAGTTATAGTAAAATGATCGGTTGCTTGGTTTCTACTTTCTAACATCTATTGAGTGTAAAAGACCGATCTTCGTTGCAGGTCTCGTCCACCGGAATGGCTGTTAGTCTGCTACTCATTTCTGTTTCCTTCTTTCTAAAGGTAACTCGTAACTTAACTTTTGGATGTTTCTGCAAATCTAAATATAGGCTTAACTATTTCATTAGTTTTGTTTTTATTATAACTCCCCAGTTTGACCCTATACTTCGCACTTGATCAATGCTAGGGTTTTGTATCAGAAGACTCTTCCGTCTATGCCATTTTGGGAATATTATCTGTTGTTGGCGTTATGGTATGTTCTTGACTGTTGAGCATATAACCATTAATGTGCAATCCTATCAACTTAGGCTTTTAGTTGAGATGGAGCACATGCTTCAATTTTGACTTCTGTTTTTGACGGGGTTATAGTACACAATGAGTTTGACTCTTGCTGATAAAATTCTTTGTAACCATTTTTCTATCAGTGCATGATTGTTTGCTTTTCGCTTGGAATGGGACCCATACCATGGCTTATCATGTCCGAGGTAATGGCATATGATGCAATACCATTGCTGAAACTCGGGACGTGGACTTTTTTGACTAATGTTCTCGATCTGGTATTGTAGATTCTCCCGATTAAAATCAAAGGCCTTGCTGGAAGCGTGGCTACATTGGCCAATTGGTTCTGCAGTTGGGTCATTACAGCGACTGCACCTCTGTTGTTGGATTGGAGTAGCGGAGGTTCTCTCTCTCTCTTTCTCTCTCTCGATTCTCATGCATAGGCACCCACCCACCTGCATAACGAGCACACAAATTGAAGCATGTGCTCTATCTTAACTAAAAGCCTAAGCTGATAGTTGGATTGCACATTAATGGTTATATGCTCACGTGTGCGGACCGATTACTTTTGGGCTCCAAGCCACACGTGGACGACCTTTAGCATGACTCTGATACCAAATTGAAGCATGTGTTCTATCTCAACTAAAAGCCTAAGCTGATAGTTGGATTGCACATTAATGGTTATATGCTCAACAACTGGCTTATACACCATAACGAGCACACACACTACCGCCATTTTTCACCATCTATACACGACCTAATTGTATACTCCTTGGTCGTTCGACAGGGACATTCATCGCGTACATGGCTATGAGCGCGTTCACAGTAGCGTTCGTGTCCATTTGGGTGCCAGAGACGAAAGGCAAAACTCTCGAGGAAATACAGTTCTCGTTTAGATAGGTAGTTCCCCGATTCTTGTTGTTGTTTATCATATCGTCGTTGTATTGGTTCAGTCTCTGTGTCCCATTTTGAACAAGGGCATCAATATTGCATAGCTACAGATGTTGGATGTTGTACTAGATTGATTGATTTTTACCTTTATTATGTTCCATTTTTGGGTAATATTCTTCACATGTATGTATAGATGCTATAGAGACATGCGGCATCGAGTTCCTTGGGCTTTATTCTTGTGTTATTAAAAGTTTATTCTCCAGTAGTCGTCAAGAGATCGGTACTTTATCTTCAAGGCCAGAAGCTTGTTTATACTGCTTTGTGAATTCATTTATAAATAAATAAATAGTGTACTGTTTAGGTCATTTGTGATGAACCGTCCTAATATTTATTACTTGGAATTTAATAATTTAGAGACATGTTATTCAGTTTCATTTTATACATATTGTAGTTTTATTTTAGCACAATTAAAATATATTTTCAATTTAATTACAATTTCATTTAATAATATATATACTCAATATATGAGATATATTATATATTATCTAGTTTTATTTTAAATCTACTATAGTAATAAAGAATTTTTGTTAAATATAACAGTGATCGAAGTGATCGAAATGACGTCGTTCTTATAATTGAGAGAGAGGTATAAAATAAAATATGATAAAATATGCTTAATGAGATGTCTATCGTCTCTTATTGAGTTATTGTTAACTTGGCCCTGTAATTTTGACGTTAACAGCAATACTAAATAAATAAGGACATCGAAAAAAAAGAAAAAAAAAAAAGGTGATAAATTTTATTATTATTATTATTTTTTTTTTTTTTTAAAAAAAAGGAGGAATTTTTGACCTGTACACCCATGAGGCGGCTATGCAGCACATGAATACTGAATTCTTTCAATTCTTTGACACCACAACACCTGCCAACAGGTTTCTATGTACACTACCAAATCTGAAATCCCTAACAGTCTGACCAAGCATCGGAAGCTTCTTTTTTATTTTTATTATTATTATTATTATTATTTTCCTTGTTCTTCTCCCAACCATAGCAATACATTGTCATGCAGTAGTCACCTTCTTTGACATGTTAATGAGAAATTTCCTAAGCCGGTTAGATTTTTCTTTTGTGTAAAATTTGACTCTAAGCAGAATCTAAAATATTTAATAGTGATAGAAAATACAGATGCCATATGTTCTGACAAAATATTTTACAATCTTACCACCACAGAAAAGTAAACAGGTGATACATGATGTGAATGAGAAGCTTCCTAAATTCAACTATAGACCATAGAAGTCAACCCGTTTTTCTTCTTTGCCTAAGAATCAGACTCGAGTTGAATCTAAATTAGTCTTCTAGTGATAGGAGATATCGAACATTGTATGCCATCACCCCTGGCAAAAATATTTCACAATCTTGCCACCATAGAAAAGTAAACAGGAAAATTGCAGTCAAGATTGGGAATGAGGACCATCAAAAAAAAAGTAAAAATGGCACAAGTGTCATCAAATGAGAAACAAACACAATGATAGCATGGCAGACAATTTCAAGAATCACCTAATTGTAAACAACTCATATATGGTGTCAGACACAAACCAAACAACCAGCCACTGATCTCTGATTCTCTTCATGGATGATGCAGAGATGTTTTCTTCTCATTCACAAATCTTTTTGCAGATAGCATTCTTCAGTTCTTGAAATATAATATTTAGATGAACACAAACTAAGAGAAAAGCACATCTGGCACCAGCTAAGCAATTATATGATACTTATTCCCTATGTTAAATCCATCCATTGCAACTTCTGGAACATGTTATTGTAATAGAACAATGAATTTTTCTTTTAAATGCAACCAATAGTACATTTGTAGTGTTTAATAGCCTGCAGAAGGAACAGACTGTAATAGTGCATTACAACATTAGAGTATCCAGAGAAAAAGATGATTGAACCAAAGTATAACTTCCAACACAGAACCCGAAAAGGTGGAAAAAAAGAAAAAAGAAAGAACCAACAAGTAGTACAAACGCTACATAAAAAAGGGCTTGGGCAACAAACTACTGATCAGCAATACACACCCTACATGGAGTTACCACCGTGAGCTGTTGTGCTATGACACTATTTTTACTGGATACCTGTCAATACAATCCTCCCACGGGCTATTAGGGGATGGTTTCACATTACGAAGTGCCTGCCAAACCGCACTGTTGCACTTGAAACCACTCCCAAATGCAATCTGCCAGACTCGGTGTCCTCTCCGCATCCTTCCCTTGGCCTCGGTGTATGCCAACTCATACCAAATGGAGCTGGATGAAGTGTTACCAAAGCGATGTAGTGTCATCCGGGAGGCCTCTACATGACTTGGAAGCAGTTGGAGATTCATTTCTAGTTCATCAATCACTGCCCTTCCCCCAGCATGTATGCAGAAGTGTTCGAAGGCCAACTTGAAATCTGGAATATATGGCTTGATGTTCTTATTGTACAACTTCTTGATTATCAATGTCGAGAAGAAGAGAAGTTGTTCACTAATTGGCAGCACAAGAGGACCCAATGTAGTAATATTGGTCTTGAGAGCACCACCAGCAATTGCCATGAGCTCTTTCGACAAAGAAACTCCCGTCTTGCCATTTTCATCCTGCTCCTGGTAAACACAACGGAAAGCCTTATCATCAGCCCCGCGATGGGTCCTCACTACATGAACAAGCTTATACTTTGCTCTTCTCCTATCTACTGACTTGTTAGAGAGCAGAACAGCAGACCCCCCAACTCTAAACAAACAATTCGGTATCAGCATAGACTTCTTATTCCCAAAATACCAATTCTGAGTAATGTTCTCTGTACTAACAACAACAGCATTGGTGTTCCTGTGCACTTGCAACAAATCCTTGGCGAGGTCAACTGCAATCACACCCGCACTACAGCCCATACCCCCCAAGTTAAAGCTCCTAATATTACCTCTTAACTTGTACTTATTCACAATCATTGCTGAAAGTGATGGAGTTGGATTGAACAGACTACAATTCACAATAAGAATGCCTATATCTTTGGGCTTCAAAGACGTATTAGCAAACAAATTATCCAATGCACCAAACATGACCTGCTCTGCCTCTTCCCTGGCGGCCTGCATAGACGGCCGCGGGGGGAGATAGTGCATAGCCTCCGGGACATAAGTCTCGTCCCCGAGGCCAGACCGCTCTAAGATCTTACGCTGAAACTCGAGGCTGGACTCATCGAAGTCCCCGGTGCGCCTGGAGTGATCCATAAACCGCTGATACGGAGCCTTGAGGGTATCGGGAGGGCGGTAACAGGCGTAATCAACCAAATAAACCGGGCGCGGCCGGGTCATGATATAAACGGTGGATCCAAAGACGAGAACGGCGGAGCAAATAATCACAGAAACGAGATTGTACTGCAAATGAAGCCACAGCTGGCGAATATCATCGGGATTCATTTGAGAAGCCTCGATTATAATCACGGCCATTACAGGAATCAGACACAGAGTTAACAAATGAGAAATCAAGTAATGGTAACCTAGTTTCACGTACTTCAAGTTGACGCTCTGGAGGAAATCCGGCAACCTGCGGCTCTGCCGGATCTGCACTCCCACCGTCGCCGCTCCCCGGCCGCTGTTGACTTCCGCGCCGCCGTCCATGGCGGTTTGTGGACCTCGAGCCTTGGATTAGTCGTTCAAATGCGGAGGAGCGTTCTTAGGGAGAAGAATGATGCCGCCGCAGACAATTATGCAAAGCACTATATATGCAAGTGAGCTGGATATATACATACACAAACCGTATATATATATATACCCCGTGCATATTTTATGGCGTGAAAGATAAGAGAACAATTGAACGAGAGGCCCCCAATTTCAAACTTATGGAATATTTATAATTCTTAGTTACACTCGCCTTTATTATAGCTGATACTGCTATTAATACGGAGTATATATTTATCTTTTTTTTTTTTTTTTTTAGTACTATTACGTTGTACATACTTTCTTTAACCTAATGAAGCACAAGCCACATTTATTTATACTTTAAAAACAAGACGGTTCACAGTTACGCCATGTTTTTTAAGCATCCCGCATGCAATATTACTATATCATGGACCCTATAAACCTATTCATCAACTCATAATGCGATAAATTGAGTAAATGTCCATATATACTTTCTCAACCTATTGATTTAAGTACAAAAAGTCACTGTCCTTACGGGGATTCGAACCTATGAGCCACATTATAGTATATATATATTTTTTGAGTACAACTGACTCTATCATAATCACAAAAAGAATCCCGCCCCATTGTAACCTCCTATTTGGGAGAGATACAAAGATGACATTGAGCTACGTACAAACAACTTGGTTGCAATTAAGTAATTTAACTTAGAATATAATTAACTCCCTCAAAAAGCTAAATTTGTGAAACTAGATCCAAAGCGATCGGTAGTTCAGATAGATCCAAAGCGATCGGTAGTTCAGATAAAGAGGTAACATGGTGATTTAAAATTTAAAATTTTAATTTTATTTTTTTAAAAAATAATTTTTAAATGAATTAATTTCACTTTTGGTCCCACGACTTTTGATGTTCTATCACTTTTGGTGCACAACTTTAAAATTTTTTAATTTTGGTGCATAACTTTGTTATTTTTATCAGTTTTGGTCCTTTCGGCCAAATTGACAGCGAAATGTTGTTGAATTTTATATTTTTAGGGGTAAAATTGTCATCCTAAGGAAGCATCTTCAATATCTAAACAAAATCACTTAAAATCATATCTATAGGTGTTTGATCAATGAGAATAATGGGGAAGACGGGCAGAAACCAGACAGATCTATGGAATTTATAGTTTCGACAATTGCCAAACTCTTTTTTTCCTTTTAATATGATTTTTCTTTTGTTTAAATATTGAAGATCTTTAAATTGGATGACGATTTTGTCCCTAAAATATAAAATCCGGAAATATTTTACCATCAATTTGGTTGGAAGGACCAAAACTGATAAAAATAACAAAATTAGACACCAAAAGTGAAAAAATTTAAAGTTGTGCACCAAAAGTGATAAGAACTCAAAAGTCGTGGGACCAAAAGTGAAATTAATTCTTTTTAAATTTGTTGTAACTATCACATCAACACTTTACATGATGAATTACTCATCACTTTGAATCTAATTGCACAAAATAGCCTTATTGAGGGAGTCGATCGTTTTTTTAATGAATAATCAAATTGCATTTTTGTGCATAATTCAGTGACTGCTTTAAACTTTATTTTGAATAAAAATTAATAATTATTTGTACGCTTGGTTCTTGTCTTAAAAAAAAAAATTGTCCACTTAAATTCACATAAATACACATGTTTATCAAATGTCAATATAATTTGGACTCAATTGCACCTTTTACCGCTTTAAAATATTTTAATGTGACTTTTTAAATTATAGGACACAATTGCATTATTTTTAAATTTAAAGGCTTATTTAATATTTTTTAAATAATATTATAATAATTAATTATGAGAAAAATGGTGAAAAGTTAAAGCAACCCGTCACACGTGAAAATGTTTTCCAAAATGGCATAGTGATACTTTTGTCTCATCAATTACCACCATTCATTAAAAAATATGATAAAAGTTTTAGGGAATATAATAAAGATATAAAAGTGTCTCTCCGCTTTGGCCCAGTGAAGTATCAAAAAATCTAAAATTATGACGTGTTATGATTTGAATTTTTATTAATATTTTATTAATCAAATTTATCGCGTTAGTTTTTCTAGTGTGAATTATTTTATATATAATTTGCTAACTATTATGTAGGAGTAAGTTTACCTAGTGAACATAGTGGTAATAGATTTTTCTTATCACATGCATAAATTAAAACACATATTTGGGTTTAACGGTAGATTATTATTTGATAAATAGTACTCCGTAATAAATAGTACGGAGTAATTATATATGTATTTTCAATTCCTACTTTCATTTTTACTACTTAAAATTTGACATGCTTTGAATACTGAATTTAATAGGGGGTCATGATATTTATCAATTAGTTGTGAGTAAATTTTTGAGAATCCATAAATATATTTTTTTGATGATAAATTGATAGTACATTTAAAGTACAAAAAGTTAATACTGTCCGGAAACTCAAACCCATGATTTACTTTTTTATTTTTATTTTGAAAGCTATTGACTCTATTAAATTGTAGTATATGTTCATACATACTTTTTCAACCTGTTAAAACACAAAGAGTTAACATCACATTCACTGATACTCGATCGCATCACCTTCCATAGGCTCATTTGTTTAATTACCATAAGTTAACTTATCCCGTGAGTTAATACTAATCATGGAAAATGAAAAATCCCGTACGTTTTCGTTATCCGTGAGAATCTCTAACTCCCGTGCTGGAAACGGAACACCAAAAACGTAGAAGTGAGGAAATTCGGAATACCGATGCGAGAGAGATGGGTTTACATCCATAGAAGCTTCGCGATGCGCGAATACAACTGCCGCGTGTACAAGGTGTCGGGCGGTTGACCGCGACCGCGATGCCGAAGAATTCGGTGGTATCGGCGGCGGCTAAGGCGGCGTTTTTGAATTGAATTTGCCGGTCTAATTCCGAGAAGGTTTTAACTGGTAAACAAATCCTCAAAGGAGAAACTAACGTAATTGCGGGTAATATACCATGCGCCAGATTTAATTATTAAATGCTGTTAATATGCAGTAAGTAAGATGTTTCTGGTAATGATGTTAACGTGTATATTAAATTATAATTTTCTTGCATAAGATAAGATTATGACATTTGGTCGTTATACACTTGTCCAAAAAAGTTAAATTCTCAACTGCAAAGCTCTCACACTCCCAGTCCAATAAATTATTTATAAGAATATAAATTATGGTAACTCAGTGATTCAGTATATATGGTCAAATGTTGATAAAAAATTTTTGTTTACTTTTAACATAATCCTCACACTGTTATTACCGAGTTTTGAACCGTAATTATTATACTCAATGGTTCAGCAAACAAGGTCAAATTAAAAAAATAAAATAAAATTATGTGTACTTCAACTTTTACTCTCATACACAAAATCTCACACTTGTATTAAGACCCACAAAAAAAAAATAACTTATCAAAATCCGTCACATCAAATAGTAAAAATAAAGAAGTAAGATTTGGGAGTACATGGAGTATAAGTAACTTTTTTTTTTTTTTTTTTTCTCTAACGAGTAAATCGTGTAAGCAAGCGAGGCCGTGCAATGTGTAGTAAAAGCTAAACGTACAGAAGCTTTTCCCATACTTGTAGGCCATTAAATTTGAAGCTTTCGGCAGGCAGTACGGTGCAGGTGGCCTGCCATGGATCATTTCATCTGGGAACTGTCTCTACCTCCCCGTACGTACGTCTTCATAATTTTTCTACTTTTTGAGGTTTACTGCCTTTGTACTGCGTACGTTAGTACGTACGTATGTCTCTCTCTCTCTCTCTCTTCATTTTTCAACTTAATTTCTTGCTTGCATGGGCTGAAAACATCTCATTTCATGTGAAAGTTCCTTCGAATTATTGGATCACACAAGTGAGATGATTGTGAATTGTGATATGCCACCCTTCAGTTCAGTTTGTACAAAGATTTTATTTATTATGAGACAACTCCAACAAAATTAGAAGTTGTTGACTTGATAACTACAAATATTATAAGTTTCACTCTCAGTAAGAGTAACCTATTAGAGTGTGTTTGGTTGACAAATTTAGCTATCTGGAATGGGTATCAAAGTTATTGTTTGGTTGACCGGTTTTTATAACACTAATATGGGTTTTGATTACCCCTTAATTGAAAAACTCATTCTCTAATAAAATAACGGTTTCATTTCATTATTCTTCCTCAGCCTAATCATTCTCATTTCACCATACTACCAAACATGCGAAATACTTTCATCAAAACCTATTATCATTATCAAGTATTTGATACCCATTCCGATTCCGATTCCCATGTGCGAACTAAACACACCATTAGTCTTCTTGATTTGAACTGATCAACTATAAATAACCTAAGCTAATTTACTTTGTTGTACGAAGTAATATTTTGTCAATTATAATCACACTTGAAATTTGCTCAATAGACACTCTCAAATAATGAAGGTAAATTTCTCTATTCACTTAAACAATTTTTTTTTTTTTTGGTGTGAAAATGCGTGTTTGGACTAATAAGATATTCTATTATTTTTATTGTTGCCATCCATCTTTTACATCACTTGAAGCTTCATTTGAAGGATATGCTCCTCCTAGCTAGGCAGAACGAACCTTCCTGATTAATGATCTCTTACTTAAGAATTCTCTTCTACTTTATGTACTATAATTATTTTTTTTTGAACTTTTTTACTTAACGTGAAGATACATTATTACGTGTGAAAGTTTCATTTAAACTGTTTCTTAAAAAGTGACAAGTAAAATGACTATGATATATTGTCATTTAGTTGAATTTTATTTATTTACGAGTAAAATATTTGTATATATTAATATCTGGTATCATTGTCGCCATCAATCTTTCACATCACTGGAAGCTTCATTTGAAGGCTCCTTCTCAACGGAACCATCCTGACCAGTAATCCCTTATCCTTCGCCTCCTCTTCTGGTGGGTTTACAACTTCACATAATTAATTAGATTTCATCAAGTGTTGGCTTTTTATGGCATTTTGTCCCAAATTGTTTTTTGGGATCGTGTTAGGTTAGCTTGTCAAATAATTAAAGAGGATGTTCGTAACGTTAAAGGTTGTTCTGCTTTAGACGCTAAGGTCTGGACGAGTCAGACATGTACTGACAGATTGTATATAAAAATTAATTATAAAGTATTTGACGATACTTGTTCTTCAACTATTAGCTATATAGATGGATGATTCTTCATATTGTCAATAAAAACATTCAAAGTGGGCCAACTAAATAGTCGGTTAGGCAAAAAAATTAATTGATGTTTGATAATTAGTACTGAGTAGTGTGTTTGAACTTCGGATCGATTGCTATTTTGTTATATAATGTATAGACTTTGGTTTGAATATGTATTGTTTGGAAAATTAGAAAATGAAAATTGGGATTATTAAATCGAATCGAATTATAATGTTAAATCAAATTGTGTCATTTTTTTAAATGCCGAAATACCAAAATCGAAAAAATTAGCCGAATCTCGAAACGATCCTATTTACGTGGAAGTTTTGCTCCGATGACAGAATGAGTGCACACAAAAGTGGAAGTTGAGGACTAATTAAAACTAATGTATAAAAAATAAAAAGGCACATTTAATTTCTTCATAACGAATGCAATAAATTTTGTGAAAAAAAATACTTACAATTATTTTATTACAATCTGCCAAAAGGGTATAATAACGGATTGAACAAAATATATATTTAAAGTTAAAATTTTTGTATATTACAGAATATTGTGTGATATTTGAATCGTAATTTTTATAAATAATCACATTTTGATATAAATAATAATATAGTCTTAACATAATAAGGAGTACGTTTTATGCGATATATAATATTTTTAGTTAAAATATAATAAGAAAATATCACAATTTCATATCAAATTTATTCTTAAATACGGAGTAAGTTGTAATTCAACATATTTGTTTTAATTAATTTATTACACAAATTAAAAAATGATTAAAATGTTCATCAAACATTCAAACCGCCGGTTGCCACGCTGCCCCGGCCCAATCGAAGACTGTAGAATTCCAGATAGCACACTGCCATAGCAGAAACCGGGCCGGAGTCGCTAATCGCTACGTCTCCCACAAAAATGGAGAATGCGCCTGATTTCAAGGTATGCTGTATAGCTCTGTTACTTCATTCTAAGTATGAATTTGCTGTTATTAGGGTTTCACTACTAGCATTCCAGTGAATTCTCCGATTGAAAGTTAAACGTCTTGGTGCAGCTGATTTTAGGTTCTGCTTCCGTGGCTCGTCGGAAAATTTTAGCTGACATGGGATATGAATTCATAACCATGGTGCGTTGTTTCGTTGTGGTATAATGGAATTCTGTTGCTCCTTTGCAAGCTGTAAAATGAAGCTCGTTTCATAATGTAACAGTCTGCAGATATAGATGAGAAGGGAATCCGTAAAGAAAAGCCGGAGGATTTAGTCATGGCTCTTGCTGAGGCAAAGGTCTGATCTTCTAGAACTTCAGATGTTAAAATTGCAGACTTATTGTATTTCATATATTATCTGATTAGCATTAGGAGGACTCTCTGATAGTTAAGCATGCATTGTCATTGCCTTCAGGCTTCATCTTATTGCCTATGGCTCTAGTCTATAGACTATAGTGTTTATACAATTTTAGTTTCTTGTGGTTGCATTGAGGCTTCGTTATTTTTTCTGCTTGATTGAGTTCAGCTATAAATTCTTTCTGGAATTTCATATAAAATGCTACCATTGCATCTCAGGCAGATGCCATCATATCAAAACTTCAAAATGGCAAAACTCAAGAGAATGATGCCATCCCAACGCTTCTTGTTGCATCAGACACAGTATGTTCTTCAAATTCATATTTTTTCCTTCTAGTTTTTATGGTGATGGATCTAGTCTGCTGCTGGTTTTATAGTTTTTATTGTTGGGAAGCATGTTGTGAGACTCCTTTTGATCCCACCACCATAAGCCTTTCTACAGCATGGATGATTTTTCTGTTGATGCTCTTACTCTCATGTTGCGAAGACTCCTTTTGACTCTGAATTGCAAGGTCTTAGCGTGCAATTGGTCATGTTCTTACTCCTTAGCTTGTGTCAGTTTTTTTATCTGCTTCTCAACAGGATCTTGTTTTTCTCAATAAGTAATTCAATGGAATACATAAGAATTGCAAGCAAATTTTTTTAATGTTCCTTGATGGCTTAAAAATATTATATCTTAAAGCATAAGTGGACATGTGGTGATGGGGTATTTCTGGAATGTTTTGAAGTAGTTCCTTCTCACCCCCTTAATGAAGCAAGACTTTTCTTTGTTTATCTTACTGCTAAATTGAAATGATTGGAGGTGGTGGTCTATGAAGGTATGGTGAGGGAGAAACCATCTGGTAAAGAAGAAGCAAGGCAGTTCATGAAAGGTCTGGTCATTGTTTTATTGGAATCCCTTCTCTAATTAGTTTCACAATATAGGTGTTCTCAACTTTTGAATCTGCAGATTACTCAAATGGGCATGCATCTACAGTTACCTCTGTTATTGTTTCAAACTTGAAAACTGGTGTTAGAAAAGGAGAATGGGACAAAGTAGAGGTACAATCTGCTTCTAAATGATTTTTTAAAATGATCTGAATTTGTCCTTATACTTTGTGATTGGGCTTCCACATTTGAACACATACACAACATATTTATCTAATGGATATGAAATCCACCAAATTGATCCAAAATTTGCTATCCAACATAGTGTACAACATAAGGAAAGTGGACTGTCTCATTTTTTTTCCTTTTAATGTTACAACCTTGGAGTGCTACTACACTAATACTGATGCATTGTCCAATCCAAACTGGATTTTGATTCTGCAATTCTAATAACTCATGAAGAACCGTAATAGTTATGTATAAACTAGTTTGCTCAGTGGTCACCGATGTGTCATTGCAATGCCTAAACAAAAATGATAATGTGGTGGCAGAATGACTCCTAATTGTGTGTCATGGCGTAGCCATGATTGTGTTACCTTTGGCAGTTGGCTCCAATTTCAAGCTTAATTTTAGGCCCAACTCTAGTTAATTAGTGAAAAATCTATCTGGATGTGGAAATGACTGTTGCTGTTAATGCCTTAATGGATTTTGGTTCCTGTACTTAATTTTACAAGATAAGAGTGTTATTAATAGCATTTCCAAATTGCAGATTTATTTCCACGAAATACCGGACGAAGCCATTGATAAACTAGTGAGTGATTTCTTGACTTTAATGTTTAAGTGTTAGGACAGTATTAGATGGATGATAGGCTGATAGCTAGTGTAACTTTACCTTTGTCTTTCATCAGATTGAGGAAGGAAGAGTGCTTTATGTAGCTGGTGGCCTCATAATTGAGCATCCCTTGGTATTGCCTTATGTAAAGCAAGTGGTAAGGTTTCAGATGCTTTGATCCTATATGAACATTCTAGCCAAATTTCTGTGACTAGTTGCAATTCTTGCGAAAACTCTTAGCTTTTGCAGTTTGCACCAACTTTTGGTTTTATTTTTCTTGTTATTTTATCTTATTTTCTACAATTAAATTTCTAAATTATCTAATCTACCCCCAAAAATTTCTTCAACTGCCTCACTACCAACTCCCAATCCACCAATTACCATGGTTACCACCGTGAGTTTCTTCAAATATGGTACCGAAGCTTGTATTTTTTTTTTTCAAAAGCTAATAGGCCCCTTAAAAAGTTACCTACTTCTTGTTGTTGTTCATGTAATGCCTACCTTTTGTTGTCACAGAAAATGCAAAGAAAAATTGTGAAACATGAAAAATAGTTAGGATATTTTAAATTTTTATATGAAAGATGCATAGACTGCCAACTGGTTCAAGTTGTATTGCCTATTGATATGGCTTGGCTGGTGCTGGTTCTGCCCCAGTATATGAATAGTTCATCCTAGCTGGATATATGTATTTATGGGTGTAAAGTGCTGTATTATAGCAGCAGACTCCCAACATGCTTATTAGAATCATGTGAGTGTTAATTGCATGTTTGAAGCTAACCTAAGAAGCATCTATAGGTATTATTATACCACTGCTTTCTATGATTCTATTAACTTAATGGTTGTGGGAAAGTTTATAACATTCTGCATTGGGCAGGTCGGAACAACTGATAGTGTCATGGGACTCCCAAAAGCTCTTACAGAAAGACTGATAAAGGAGGTTCTCTAGAATGACTTGAATTCATTCACTCTGGTTAGATCCAATTCTTGATTTTCGGAATTAATTCAACTTTGTTATACACAGAATACTTTCTAGGACAATTTTATTAAACTAAGATGTCTCTATGTCAAACAATTTCAGAATTTTATTAAACTAAGATGTCTCTATGTCAAATGCCCCGGTTTCTAGTTGTTCGTGGTTCATCGGATCACAATTACCCATTGCATAAACAATTAGAATACAGATTCATGGTTACTTTGACTTTTTGGTCTATAGACCAAGTTATTGTTCATATCATTCTCAAACATGAACACATCAAATTATATCCTAACTTTCAGATGAGTGGAGACATTGTTGACACAATAGTTTCTTGTTGGTTAATTGCCATATATAGAAATGTTGGACTGTGGGTTTAAATCCTATCTACTGCAAAGGTAACTTTGGTGTGTATTACATGGCCTACTTGGATTATGAAAGAGATTGTTGTTTGATTGTTTTTGAGTTTCTTAAAGAGAGTATTGACCAAATCCTTTTGGATGATGAAGACAGGTACCGCCTCCTTGAGGACTCAAACCCAACTTGTGTCAAATCTGAATTAGTCCCATAGTGAGATATCATATGTTATATGCAAAAATTTTTGAAAAAATTATCAGACTGGCCATCAAATTACACGTAAAAATGCAATTTAGTATACCTTGTTCAGGGCTCAGTTATAACTTTTTTTTCTTCAATCCAGTGACCTAATTACAATTTTGCTTGTAGTTTAGTACTTTAGTTACTTGTTTGGCTATTCTAAAATTCTTTTATTATACTATGATATGAGACTAATAATATCATAGCGATACCAACGTGTATATAGCAATATAGATTTACATGTGTAAGTGCAACGCATGCATGCCAACTTTGAATTACAAGTCTGCTCACATGTGCATTCTCGTTGAAACTCGCTTTGTGACCCTAGTCGACAAATAATTACAAGGAAGTAAATGGAAGAATGCATGCCGAACTATTTGGCGAGTTACGTAATCATGTTTTATTCTCTATATATGCACAAATCTTGACCATTCCCTTAAGCCTGAATCTTGATTTTATTCTTTTGGGGAAAGAACATATATCTTAAAATATCTTTTATATATCCTGCAACAAAGCATATACCAACGTAGACAAATTTGTACATGAAGCGATTACAACATCGTACATACATAAACAGCTATATGTTCGTTCGATCGGTACTGTCACTTTTCAGTGACTAACTTAATCTACATGTATACATACAAACACTTAATAGAAATGGGGATTCCAGAAAGCAAAAAGAGAAGCAATCAATTTAGCACAATATATATGGCGTATCCCAGCATGTATCTTGTTATTCGTTGATAATGTTTTTGGTTTTATGTATAGTTGAAGTTTTTGGTGGAGTAGTTGCGATAGCATATATGTGCTTTAATTTCCTTTGCCATTTCTAGCTTTCTTCACTGAAGCTTCATATATTTCATCCTGCAAAAAAAAAAAAAAAAGATGCGGAAAATATTTATTTGGATAGCCCACTTACTTGTAACTACTTTCTCAACCTACTGAAACACAAAGAGTGTCAAACCGCCTTCACTGAGGCTTGAACCTAAAATCTTAAAAATATTTTAAGCAACACAGGTAAAATCTATATTTTTAATATAATTTACGGGAAAGTGAACTCTGGGTGAAACGTAGCCTATGAGTTCGAATCACCCGATAAAAAAAAAGAGATATGGTCCACGTGTTGCTTGGAGGCAAAAGTAATCGATCCTCGTGACGAGACTGTATCGAATTTAGAACATTGTGGTTACCTGTCTGGTGCCTGGTGCATGAATGCATAGCCGGCTTTGGCATGAGCGTCGTAATTGGGCAAAGGGATTTTGCCAGTCTCAATGTGGTTCACATCCTCCACAAGCATCTCATACTGCCTCTTAACCTCCTCCTCCGTCGTCTTCCCGCCGACCGCCCTCGCCAGGTTCCGCCACCTGTCCGGCGTGTCCTTGTCGTACGTCACCAGCGCATCCTCAAACAGCTTGGTCTGCTTCGATGTCCACGTTGTAGTCGAACTCGACCCCATTTTAACGTTAATTAAGAAGAAGAAGAAAGAATGTGTGTTTTAATTTGTGGATATATAGAATAAGGGTGGCATGGGTGCAGTGTAGTTATATAGCGATAGCATGCATGAGATAAGAGGACATGAATGGACAGATCGAATATGGCGACCCACGAGAAGTTGTTTTCAGTATCAAACTACAAAATTAAAAAGCAGCCAGGGTCTTTACCATCATATGGCCGGATTATTCCAATTCCTTGCATTATATTGTGGGATAAGTATATTATATATGTATTTATCCCGGCCCCTATATATGGGACACTATAATCATTTTCAGATTTTTTAAGATGCCATTGGTATCTAATGAGGGAATTCAAAGCTGCACTACTCACTACTCTTGAGTACTACAAACAAGTTTGAGTATTTGATTTTTGCCCTAAGATCGACGGAGCGTTATGCTATGGACCCGTGTTCATCATGTGCATGGTGGACACACTGTACATTCATAATTTCTATACTGTAGATTCATCAAATTTATAATGTAGATTCATAATTTCTATACTGCACATTCATAATTTCTGTACTGTAGATTCATAATTTCTATACTGTAAATTCATAAAATTTATAATGTAGATTCATACAGTACAGAAATTATGAATGTGCAGTATAGAAATTATGAATCTACCGTATAGATTTTATAAATCTACAGTATAGAAATTATGGATCTACAGTTTAGAAATTATGGATCTACAGCGTGTCCACCATGCACATGGTGGACACGGGTCCATAGCATAATTTCCCTGGCCTATTGCTTGAAGATTCAAACTCGAGTATTTGCTGGTCTGGGACTCTGGATAAGTATACCCACTGCACACTCAACTTTCAACTATTGAGTTATGCTCCGGGGGCAATGTTTAGTATACTGATCGACACTATACATTTTTTTTGAAAGCAGATACTATACATAATTGTATTTGATATTATCAACACTAGTACATACAATACTACTCATTGGCGCTATAAGGAAAGGTATCAACAAGACCATGAATCATTGTGATATTTTGTAATCTTTGGGACACATGCATGTAGCATCAATCACCTTAAAATAAGTTAAGAATCTTTTAGTATACAGTACAGTTATTTATGGAGAATAATCTAGAGTTCACACATATTCCCTAATTTACCTTCTCCACCCGTTGTTTGGTCAGATGAGACACATATTATATTGCAATTTGAGGTTTCTTAGCCGGTGAGAGTTTTAATTCTTAAGTATGGGTTGAAATTTATGCCTTTTAGCTTTAGCTTGCTACGTCGTTAGGTCTTTATCTCAGACTAATTTGATAAGTTGATCACTTCATGCACGTTTTTAGGTTGAAAGCATTTATTGGTAGCTTTATGTAAGTTCACGTATTAAACATATTTACTGCTGCACGCAATCACATGCCAGGCATTTAATTTGTTGCCCAAGTTGATCACTATATTACTTTTTTTTTTAATGATACGAGAAACATGTAACTAGCTAATATTTAATGATGAGTTAATACCTAAAATTGTCATCGACTATAGTGGTTTTTCTCAATTTCGTCCTAAACGACTTTGGTGACCTAATATCGTCCCAAACTTTTGTGTTTCGCTCAATTTAGTCCTCCATTTGTTATTCCGTCAAATTAGTGTTAAATAAAGGGACAATTCAGTAATGTCAATATTGATCTCTCTTTACTTTCAACTTGTGAAGTGCGAAATTCCTCTTTCTTGTACGAATTACACCCAGAATTATTCCCGGACCTGCAAATCAAATTTTATATTCGCAGTTTTAGGAGTAATTCTGGGAGTAATTCGTTAAAAAAAAAAAAAGGGATTTCGCAGTTCACATGTCTGAGTAAAGAGATGCCAATATTAAAATTACTGAATTGTTTATTTATTTAACACCAAATGGACACAATAACAAATGAGGGACTAAATTGAGCAAAAACACAAAAGTCTGGGACTAAATTGAGCGAAACACAAAAGTCTGGGACGATATTAGGTCATTAAAGTCGTTTAGGACGAAATTGAGAAAAACCACTATAGTCGAGGACGATTTTGAGTATTAACTCATTTAATGATGTAGTGTATGTGGTAAACTTTGCTCTTGTCTAATAGTCAGTAAACCCCACTCAAGAAATGTAAACTGTATTAGGAAGACTTGTGCAATGATTGTGAAAATATTGACAAGAATTGAACTTGTGAACTTTTAGGTGATAGTGTTATTTTACGTTTTAGGGCAAGTCTAAATTAAATGTGATGAGATAACTAGATAAGGTATGTATACTTTGCAGCCCCAAATCTTCTTACTCCAAGCAGATGAGAACTTTATACACAACCACACGGATGATGCAATGCACGTTTTTCCCTTTGCCGCAGAGAAGATTGACTACGTAAGATCTACAAAACCCTTCTCGTTAAAGATCACATTTTTATGCCTTTTTTAAAAAAAAGAAAAAAAAAATTCTTGATCTTGTTCATCTTTGAGGATCTTAACAGTTAAGGTTTCGTATACATACGCTGGTGTCTAGCTAACAATAATAAAAAAGCTAAGAAAAGATATATGTATGGCATTAGATAAAGCTATGGAGGTGATTTATTGATTGGGGAAAGGAGAAGATGAGGGCATAATATGATCCTCAAAATAGGGAATGGGAATCCTTATCATCACCCACATCGATATGTCCAGTAAATATTGCTGTTTGTGGATGCCTGTCATGTCTCTCTCACAAGCTTTAATTAAGATCACTTATCCTTTCTTTCTTTCTTTAGGTTTGGACCTAACTCTGCAAATTGATGGATTCTTATGCAATTCATTCATAGCTATGGTGACATGTCAGTATGGGGAATCCTTGCGGAAAGAGTCAACAAGATAACACTGCAACATAGCCTTACATATTTTACCAATCAATTCTGGGATGGGTCAGATGCATCTTGCTATATATGCTTCTCATATCTCTTATTCTTTATCATCCTTTGATTGCTGTGTAGTGTTAGCTAGTGACTGAACCAACAAATTAATTAAAGATAAAATCTGATGAAGATATTGCATTGTTAGCAAAAGGGTTGGATCAAGGGTGGGTTTGAGTTGCTTAAATATGATGTCGGGGATTAACAACGACATCTCCCTTCAAATGGGTTGGGGCAAGACTAAGATTTGACATGGGTGAATTAGTTTATCTTGTAAGATGCGAATACTAGTATAGTATGTGGTAGATCTGTTTTCTAATAGGAATAGGAAAAGGGTTTTGTTTGGGTATTCTTTTGAAGAGGAAGGTCTTATGTGATGCCCTCCTAATTCACAAGATTTTACCTAGATTAAGTTGAATTAGTCTTATCTTGCGAGATGCAAGTAATAATATAGTATGCTAAAGATATGTTTTCTAGTGTTTCCTATCATGGAAGAAGATTGAGAAGGGGCTGTATAGTGACTTAGGTTCAACTGAATTAGTCTCGTCATGCAAGGTGCAATTATCAATAATATAGTATGCAAAATATATGTTTTCTAGTCTCATCTCACGAGAAGGTGGATATTCGTGCAATATGAAAATGATATATTTTCTAATATTTCATGTCATGGAAGAAGAGAATGGGTGTATTGGATTTGGGTATAGTACTCTTTCAAAAGAGGAAGGTCACGTGAGCTGCCCTTCTAGTATAGCGCAACTTGACTGAAATTTAGCTAGATTAGTCTCATCTTATAAGACACGAATATCAATACAATATGTAAAAAAATTATTTTATGATATTACGTTTCTTGACATTGAAGAAGAAAAGGGGTGTATGCATGGGGTATATATGGTGGGAGGGTGGGGGTGAGGGTCTTTTGAGGAGGAAGCTAAGCTCATGGAATAAGAGAAGGCCAGGGTTTTGTGGGGGGTATTCGATCTTTTGAAGAGGAAGGTCATGTGTGATTCCTCTCAATTTACACGACTTGACCTAGATTTAGTTGAATTAGTCTCGTCTTGTGTGATACGAATACTAATATAGTATGTAAAAGTCTATATTTTCTAGAGTTTCCTCTCATGGAAGAAGAGAAAGGCTATATGGGGTTGGGGGGAGGGGTATTCTTTAGAAAGAGGAAGGTCATGTGTGTTGTGATTGTTGTCCTCTTAATGTGGCTCGATTGAGATTTAGTTAGATTAGTCTCACCTCACGGAAGGTGAATATTAGTGCGATATCAAATTAATATGTTCTTATAATATTTCATGTCAGGGAAAAAGAGGTCAGAAGGGCCCCTTCTGAAGGGGTGTTATGGGGTTGGTGGGAGGGGTATAGTAGGTACTCTTTTGAAAGAGGAAGGTCATGTGTGCTACCCTCCTATACTAAGCCCTAACCTAATGCTACTTGACTAAGATTTAATTAGACTAGTCTCATTTCATGAGATGCAAATATCAGTACAGTATGTAAAATAGAATTATATTTAATTTTTCTGATATATGATAGATGTTTTGCCATGGAAGAAGAAAAGGGGTGTAAGCTAGCTCATCATATATGCTGCATGTGTGCTGTTGTGAACTGGGGTTCTCAAGATCACATGCAGAAGAATTGAAGATCTATCAGATCAGATAAGCTGATGATAGAATTTGTGTAGTGTGATAAGGTGGTGATTTGAAGAGAGAATTTTCCAGGCTGTTTCGAACAACATTATTAAGATAGATGAACATTGGATAAGAAGTTTGTCACCTGCAGGCCGGGACCAAAGAATTCATTCACTATTGAAGGCTGTGATTGTTCAAGTCCCATCCAGGCCAGTAGCTGATTGGGTCAAGAGGATTCAACAGAATCTATCATTAGTGACACCAGAATTTTAGGTTCTTGACTTTTTTTGTTCTCTCTTTTTCCCCTCTCCTCTCCTTTCTTCTATCCCCAGAATTCGAACATATATATTTCATCTGATGCCTGCAAGCTGGGAATGGAATCTCCATGCTTCTTAATTGATCAGATGCGCCATAGTTATATAGTTGATAGCATTGCCAGGTAAGACCAACTATTCTTCCTGCCCTGCAATCCTCACCTCAGCCAAGTCCGTCAGACTGTTGACTTAGTAACCACAAGGTTACAAGTTCAAATTTTAGCGGGAGCAGCCTATTGATTTCCTTAGTTTGGACTGATCAGATCAGCTATGGACAAACTAGGCTGGTTTTTGTATATCTTTATGGTTCTTGATTGGCTAAGGTCACAAAGTGATATTTAATTAGTGATTGCGAGTTTCCTTTGTCATCCAAAAAGAAAAAGAGGCTAGCTAGAATCCTCAACCCATCTGAATATGATCCCAATTCCAATCCTAGCTCGATCAACTTTATTCCATGTTTAATCATAACAACTTTAACCTGAAAACAATGCAATCGAATGTTTGAATACTAAGACTATGTAATGGTAAACTAATGTTGTTAATGTTTTTTTTTTTTTTTTTTTTTTTTTTTTTTTTTTTGAGTTTTGGTAAGTAGAGATCAGTTATGGTTCACAAATACTTGCATCAAGTACAACCCAAAATGTTTTGGGAGAAGTTATGGTTCACAAATTAGTTGGTGTGTTGACTTAGTCAACTTGGTCAGGTTGTTGATTTGGTAACCACAAGATCATGTTGTTAACGTTTTCTGTACATATTTTTAAATAGTGATTGAGAATTTCTCTCACTACATGTACATTTATTATTTATATAGCTAAGGTATGTTCTAAAGTATCAATTGGCACTGGTGTCTCTTGCACAGTTGCACCGAGTACAACTCAAAATGTTTTGGAAGAAATTTTAAGTTTATACTAAGTATTAGGTCAAACACAAAGCCTTTTTCATTCACTTTTGGTTGTATTTGGTGTAAAAGACATTGGTACTATAGACTTTAATTTTCCATATATTATACTCAACATGTTTCGTTAAGTGTGCAAGCCAAATAGGCAAACACTTGCACATGGACATAGCTGATCCGATTCAAACTACAACTTTTCACTTAAGTCTAATTTAAATACATATTTTGTCGCAATTACAAATTTAAATTGATAATTAAATTATATCCGGAAGTAATATATATGATATTCATTATATATATTCCACAATTATGGGGATGGAGCGTGCAACTCCTTTATGTCATTGTCCTGAATCATATATGATTAAGAGGTTGAATCATATATGATTAAGAGGTGGAATCATCACAAATACAAATGATTAATTTTGTTGGAAATAACTTTTGCAACTTTCTTGGAGAACTATTTTTGTTTTTGTTTTTTTTTTCCTCCAAAAGGTGATACTGCTTCCAGATACAGCATGCTGCTCACGTGACATTTGGATTCCGTCAAAACCTTTTATTTGGTCATCTGCAAATCTGCAATCCTGCACATATACCTCCCATTTCTCTTCAAATTTCAGGTTATTATGTGGTCCTACCATATAAAAGATCTCTAAATATCCATATAATAACTCACAAACAACACATGAGAAGAGACTATGTTGAGATATTTGATGATATTAATCATCTAATTTAATTTTTATGTGTCTCTTGGGTTTTCCATATGTCTCTTGGGTTTCCCATGTGTCTCTTGGGTTTTCCATGTGTCTCTTTGTTTTCTTTGTATACATTCTTCATCATCTTGTTGGCACTATAAATAGAGTGCTTGTATTGAGGTTTAGACAAGAGACAATATATAATCAATTATCCATTTTCTTCTTATTTGTATTCTACATGGTATCAGTCACTAAGGTTTATACCTGCGTATAAACTCATCCATGACCGACGACAACCAGCCGCTGGCGCAGCCTCCCCAACCTCAACCCAAAATTGAACCAAACTCTTCCTTTTACCTTGGTCCTCAAGATCGACCGGGTGATTTCATAACCCCGACACGTTTGACCGGAAACAACTATGATGATTGGGCTGCTGACATACAAACGGCGTTGGAGGCACGGCGAAAATTTGATTTCCTTAATGGAACGATCACTGGACCGACTCCACCTTGTTCTCAGTCGGATTGGACCACAATCAACGCTATGCTTATTTCTTGGCTAATGAACACCATTAGTCCTGAGGTAAAATGCTCTCTTGCTAAATACAGGGATGCCAAAAAGTTATGGGATACTCTCGAGAAAAGATTTGCAGTGACTAATGGGCCACGCATTCAACAATTAAAATCATCTATTGTTAAATGTGAGCAGTCTAAGAATATGTCTGTGTCCACATATTTTGGCCAGTTGTCAGCACTATGGGAAGAATTACATACCCATGAGCCTATTATTAAATGTTCCTGTTGTGTCTCTTGTACCGCCGGCAGTGAACATGAGGCACGACGAGAAAATAACAAGCTACATCAATTTTTAATCGGTCTTTGTTCAGAGTATTATGTACAAGTTCGCACTAATATTCTGTCCATAGATCCATTACCATCACTTGACCGTGCTTATCAAATGGTCCTTCAAGAAGAGACAATTCGCTTAACTACTGTCCCCGAAGACAAGTCACCAGAAGTTATGAGTTTTGCTGTCAATACCGGTTCTGGTAAGGGTCGTGGTCACTTTGATAAACCAGACAAATCTCATCTCTCTTGTACTCACTGCAAGAAATCTGGCCATGACGTATCTCAATGCTTCGAAATACATGGCTATCCAGATTGGTATGAGAATCGTGGCAACAACGCGCGTGGAGGACGTAGTGGACGGGGTAGAGGTGTTCCCCGTACCAATGCCACTTTAACCAAAAAGCCCACTGACAGCTGTGGAGTTCCCTCATCTCATTTATTCTCACCGGACCAATGGAAGGCATTAACAGGGCTAATTAGTGGTACAAAGGTTTCTGATGATCAATTGATTGGTAAGTTTGATGCACGATTGTGGATAATTGACACAGGGGCCTCTCGTCATGTTACTGGTGATTCCACTCGGATGACTGATGCAAAAGATATATTTCATTGCCCTGTTGGTTTACCTAACGGAAAAACAGTGGTTGCAACTCAAGAAGGCTCGGTTCGATTAACAGACAAAATTATTCTTCATCATGTTCTTTATGTTCCGTCTTTAAGTTGCAATCTTATTTCTGTATCTCAGTTAAATGATGATATGCAGAGCAGTGTTATCTTTAACTCTCATATGTGTGCTATACAGGACCAATCGAGGGAGCTGATTGGAACGGGTGTTAGACGGGATGGACTTTACTACTTCAAGGGAACCGAATCAGTGCAACATCTTACAGTAAATGCGCCAGCGGCTGGTTTTTCTTGGCCATTCTCCAATCTCATGGAAAACAAAGAAACAAACTACTGTTTCTCGTTCTTCCGCAGAAGCAGAATACAGATCCATGGTAGCCGTTACTTGTGAACTCAAATGGTTAAAGGGCTTGTTGTTAAGTCTTGGGGTTCATCATCCCAAAACCATAAAGTTATTTTGTGACAGTCAATCGGCTCTTCATATTGCAAAGAATCCAGTCTTTCATGAACGCACAAAACACATTGAAGTGGATTGTCATTTTGTTCGCGATGCAATTAAAGATGGTTTGATCTTCCCTTCCTACATTCCTACCAATTCGCAATTAGCTGATATCTTCACAAAGGCTCTGGGGCAAAGGCAATTTGAATTTCTTCTTCGCAAGTTGGGCATTTCAGATCCGCATGCTCCAACTTGAGGGGGGGTGTTGAGATATTTGATGATATTAATCATCTAATTTAATTTTCATGTGTCTCTTGGGTTTTCCATGTGTCTCTTTGTTTTCTTTGTATTCACTCTTCATCATCTTGTTGGCACTATAAATAGAGTGCTTGTATTGAGGTTTGGACAAGAGACAATATATAATCAATTCTCCATTTTCTTCTTATTTGTATTCTACAGACTATGTGTGACAAACTTGATCAAGAAAGTGTTGAAAGAATTGAACTCGTGATTTTTTGGTACGAGAATTATATATTTTACCTATTCAGTCACTCTTATAGGGACAACATGCAGTGCTTTTAATTTCAAGGATACAACATTGTAAAACTTTTCGTTTTTGTTTTTGTTTTTGTTTTTTTGTTTTTGTTTTTTTTTTTTTTTTTTTTTTGTTTTTTTTTTTTTTTTTTGTGTAATGGTTTGTATGCATGAATTTGGGCCTTGCTCCAAATCTGAGAGAAGCCCACTATTTCAATCCAAACAATTTGATACAAATTATTTAGGCCTACCAACACAAATGGGGTTATTAGGAATTAAACCAACTTAACCCAAGCCCAATTAAAGAATTTCTAATCTTTAATTTATAATACCCAAACTTAACCCAACCCTAATTCAAGATTTTCTAGTGTCTAATTTAAGATGCAAAACATATAACTTTTTATCAACAGTTGGTTTGATAATCACAATATTCCAAGTTCGACTCTTTGAGGAAGTTGTCTATTAACCTTCCTGTCAGTTAGAAATAGCCTAGACTGGTTTACCTCCTTATAGCTCTTTGACGACTATCGTTACAATGCAAGATAAACTTCACCTAAAGCACTTACATTCGAGTAGTGATTGTAGGCTTTCTCGTAAATAATTAAAATAAAAAAAAAACATGTAATTTTTAGTCTAATTGAGTTGTTATTGAAAAACTCACTTTTACTCTAATTATATAAGAAAGATGTTACATTATACAATATGAAGTTATAGAAATGAAGATATTTTTCAATTTCTGGTATGAGATTCAAGAAACGTATTAACCATCCAAATATAAAGAAATTTTTCAATTTTTGGTATGAGATTCAGAAAACGTGTTAACCGTCCAAATGAGAACGAAAAATTTCTACATTATAGAGTGCAAGTAACAAGAGATTCATATTGATGACAAGTACAATGGGTGGGAACAATGGATAATTGGAAGTTGCACATGAAGTTCGCAATGGGGACCAAGTAAACCGACGGATAGGATGATTGACGCCGACTCAACGTGCATGATATTCCAATGATGAGGTTGACGTGGCATGTAAGTATTAGTAGAAACTTCAAAGAAAAAGTTATTTGTAATTTTATCTTCGTAATCTAATGTGACAAATCAATGTTGAATAGTTATTAGTAGGTTGATTTTTCAACGATATATTATTTTGTCACGCGAATGAATTGTGATTTGTGAGTAGAACATTCAAAGTGATTGTTTGGAGTTACTTAACGAATCAAATAACATTAGGACATCTGTTTGTTAGATTATTCTAAATTCGAACAGTGATATATTTAGAATTATCTAAATCTGTCTCGAATTCAAATAAATATTACTCGTGCCTATCTTAGCTTAAACTCGTTTAAAATCACCGTTAGAAATACCTTGTTGCACATGTCTCAAAACATGTTTAATTTAATACATCCTAAAAATATACTCTGTAATATATAATATACTATCATATATTGGACACCGAATTTTCGTTGTTACCTGAACATGTAACAAGTATTATTTTACATACCCAAACCAATTTATAACCCACCATATTATATGATTCGAGAAGGTCAGATATCCAATAGTAGACTATGAAAGGCCATTCCTACTTGCAATAAATAACTTGTACTAGAAAGCGACAAGTTTTTTGTTGCAAGGGGGGAAAAGATGTCAAAGAAGTAGCTTTCCCCAATTTGATGGATATTGGTTTGTAGCTAGAACCAAAGAAAAAGAGATATTTGGGGTGGTGCAATAATGGAAGTGAATGATGAGAGTGTCCAAATTATTCCACAATCAAATTAAATGGTGGGAGCACACAAGACTGAGTCAAATGACAAGACACGTACGCATCCACCATTTAAAAAATAATAATAATAATAATAATGAGCAAAATCTCAAATATTATTCAATCATGAGTTAATACTATTTGGGATATATTCTAGGAATAAAGTAATTTTGTCACGTTTAGTCTAAAACTTTTAAATTGATTACTTGTGGTATTTCATTTTTTAAATTGTTACTATCTGAGCATTTGTAGTCTAAGTTAATCATCCATGACTTTTAACTATCAACGTTTATCCAGTCATAATCTTGCTTTCAAGAAGACCACAACTAGTTAAAGTGAAAGTTAAAGGATCATGGGTGATTAGTTTGAACCATTGATGATAACAATTTGAAAGTAGAGAGACTACGTACGGGGAATCAATTTGAAAATTTAGGATTAAACGTTAAAAATCATTATACTCATTCAATGTTTCAATCATGTATATTAAATAAACTCTACTCATATATATAATAACTTGAAAATTATATATAAGATTTAAATTACACTCTAACATGCTCGATTGAGAGGATGTTAACAAGTATCAAGCATAAATTTTTAATAAAAAAAAATAATACTTTACCGGTTTACCTGACCCACTCAGTCATCTCTTTCGAGCGTGGGTACCCACCATTTTTCTTTGACATTTGTGTTGCACAACGTTAAAAGTATCCTATGCAACACATGTATACGTAATATTCTCACCAATAATTCCACTTTACGCGTTGGCCGCATGCAATCTACTCACATCCTTTTTAAAAAAATAAAAAATAAAAAAATCAATCAATCAAAAGAATTCATCCATAATTCCACAATAAAATAATATTTCCAAGAATTTAATGTTTTTTAAATTAAAATAAGTGGTCCGAACCTAACTAGTGCCGTGACTTATATATATATATATATATATATATATATATATATATATATATATATATATATATATATATATATATATATATATATGTCCAATCAACCACACAATATGAACATAACCATATGATATATCAAATATTAGTAAAATAAAATATTTTTTTCTAATGATATAATTTTTTTTCCGACTCAAATTTTAATTAAATTTATCTCGAATAGTAATTCTCCTAAATAAAAATATCTTTCTGAGACAAAAATATTATTAGAAATAAAACCTGAAGTACTTAAATAATATTCTCATAAAATGTGAAAATAGGAAAAGTCGAATGTGTAAAGATAGGGGGATAAATAATTTGAGGTTTGTATGGTGTTGTGCTTTCTCCCTCAATCAATTATCATTTTGCGACAAGTTTATCGTAACACATACGTGGATGTCTTCATCAATTGCTAAACGACATATCCTATGAAATACAACATTGACCACAACATTTGTAGTTGACTCCTATTCCCCTTAATTTTGTCAACTACACTGTGAATTAATTAATTATATTTTACATTGCGAGTATAATTCTCTTATTTTAATTTATGAATGATTATGAGGTCAATTATTATTAACATAATTTTATTTGTGCCCATCTACACAGAAATAAGGTTCGAAGTTTACTCCATGCAAACACTTAGATAGTGATTACATGACATCTTATTTAACTCTATCATAGTAATTAGTAACTGGTGTATAATACTAAACTAGTACTACATAGTACATATTGTACTGTACTATTAATAAGAATCATATCATTTACTCTTTTTTTAGTACACTCTAACCTAACTATAGTATCTGCTCAATATCATTTACTAATTTTAATACTTAGATTAGATACAAAAAAATTAGTTCAAATGACATTTTTATGTCATTTCGTCTCACTCGATAAATATGATATATAGAATAATAATCAATTATTTGACCGTTGAATATGTATGCAACCATTATAATTTTTAAAATATCATAATATCATCTCGAAATGATCGAGTAGTCAAATAAATAAAGCATAATTCTTGTACATAAGGTATTCCTATATTACGATTTAGTGCGCTGCTCAATTTCTCTTCCATAATCACTTTTAGCTTCTTGATAACAATATTCTTTCTTCCAAAATATGTAAAAAAAAAATTAAAAAAAATAGCATTTGAAAAAAATACTCTTGATTCTACTAATATATGTTATATACTTCTTGTTCTATAAAAAGAAATAGCATTGTTTTTTTGAAAGGGAAACCCAAAACTTTATTAAATAGCATTTAGTAATGTTAGTTATTTATTTCTGAAATCGTTTTCAAACTTTTTAAAATAATTTTTCCTTTTCTAGAACTATATATATTGATTTATTTAATTTACAAAATATCATAAAATTACAATATCTTAAGTTTCCAAATTTGACGCAATATAATGTGAGAGTTGTTTATTAGTCTTCTTAATTTGAGTCAATCAACTATTTAAAAAAAAAATCTAAATTAATTTATCTTTTTGTATTCCTTTATCAATTAGACTCAATCACAAGATATATTTCATCTGAACTACAATTTTAAGTTGCGATTACGAGTTTTTTGTAAATAAAATAAGAAATTATAATATCAAAAAATAATAATAATAATAATAATAATAATAAATCGATTCAATTAATACCAACGGTTCTACCCACCATATAACGTTTCGTACTAGTATTGTTGAATGGTGGTTACTACGTCCCAAAAA